CGCAGTAAAAGAAACAAAGAAAACTTTTGACATGACTTATTTCTCTGCAAACTATAAATGTAACAAATTGTGAAAAGTAATCTGTTGGACAAGAAATGCAAGAAATGCTTGTGAGTGTTTTCCTGAACAGAACTTGTGCTTTGACCAAATTGTTGTATAATTCTCCGTGGAAGTGGATGTTGTGACAACCATTCGGGTGCCAGAGGGTAGCATCGTTCCTGGTAAATTCTAGTGATTTTATTACAAAAATAAATAAATCGAACCCTTACATATAACCAGAATTATTATTTTAATTGACATTATTTTTACTACAGATACTTTTATTATGACTGCAAAGTGATTTTCACTTATTTTAACTTCCCCCAAATTCATATATATATGAATGTTGGATTTCTCTAGTAGGATTTACATGCACGATATAATCACTCTCATTATCTCTCTTTTTTAAGATATATTTGCAAATTCCTGCGTTTCAGAAGATTTGAGGGAATGTCGAAAGAGAAAACTGAAAAACTGTTTCGTCTGTATCGGACGCATTTGTGCTCCTTCCCCGACTCAATAAGCAAACCCTCATATCGAGAACATAACTCGTTCGCTCGGAGATATGTTGTCGCATACTAGAATTGAAATGTATTTCGGCGGAATAACTATGTGCTTTCTCATTCCATAGGAACTCAGATATAAATTGTTTATTGTTGTTCCGTATTGGGTTCATTCGTTCATTTATTTTCTCATATACAAATAAGAATTTTTAAAGAGGACGAATTTGCCTGTCAACCCTTCATATAATAACGTATTCAACTGTACTTACATATTTGTCCTCCACTTCATGGGAGGCTAAATATATTCAAATAGGATACAAATGCATTTTGTATTCAATCTTGGTCCAATACAGTTCGAAATAAACTTTCAAATGTTCCCTATATTTCATGTATCAATCACTAACATTGCCTCGCTAAACAAACATATTTTGTGAGATTCATCACCTATGCAAGTTTGGGAACACCAATTTATAAGAATAGATTTGGCTTTACGGAGCACAGTCCAACTCACAGTCTGGTAGCCTGAAAAATGGCAAATGCTTCTGCTGAAAGGACATTTGTCCAACGCTTCCTCAAGCTGCGACGGTATCAATGGCGCCGCCTGATTATCGACCTTTACCCAGGGTAATTAATTCTTTGACAACACGCTCTCCATAGATTGACTATCCGGTCGCTACCTGATTGTTGGATACCCTTGCAGTTCAACATTTATCGTCATTCTGTTCAAAATGACGTGCAGTTGTCATTTGTCAAATTATTGTTTTCCATTTCAATTCTCTTATCTGTTCCTGGAGAATACAAGAGTATGCTTTAAAGTCTTTTGCTTTTCCAGGACGCTGTTGGAGGCAACTAGATAAGATGCTATTAAAATGATAACCAACTGCCTAATAGGCTACCTTCCCAAAAGCTAACAAGCGCTTCAGTGACATTACCGCCTGAGTGATGGGTGTGTCGAAGTTGCAACAATGACTGTTTGCATATTAAAATACTCCAGCCTCGTACAACTAGCGGCTCGAAAGTCTCTCAACTATTTACCATTTTCCAAACGAGTTATCTGTCTATTCAACCTGACATGATTTTGATTCCACTTTAGTCCATTTTGAATCTCCATATTGTTCCTATGAAGTGAAAATAACTGCTTCATGTATCTCCGGTATTACTGACTTGATTTCTCAACCTTGGCTGTTTCTCATATTCATCCTAATTTTACTCTCCTACAAGGCTCAATATTCTCCGATATCTGAGTTATGCAGTCATATACTATAGGGAAACTCGTCATCTGTCTCGAGTCAGTTCAAACTAGGTCACTGAGCGAAGTTGAACATTCACGTCTGGCCTCCTCTTTGCAGCGAAGCCTAGGGCCGGTATTACGCTTTACTCGTCCATTTGCAAACTAACTTCTGTCATGGACATTTGTGAAAGAAACTCGCGTGTGTGGGGCTCTCACTGAAATGGTTGGTAATCTGATCATTTGAAACACGAAGGGTCGTTGGCTCTCAGCTTGAAGATTGTTTCTCTCTTTACCGAGTTCTCAACTTATTTTTTCAATAAGATGCTTTCAAGCAAACTTTGGAAAGGTTGAGTTATCGTTATTGCTGAGTATCATTCCGCATTTTGGTGCACTAATTTGCAACAATATTGATGGTAGTTTTTCTACAGTTATCCATCATTTTTACGCAGTTGAAACCCGTGATACTGTCTAAGTTACTGTCAGTGACTCGCACAGAATAACGCGATGATCACCAACATTTCCGCAAACCGCAACATAATACGAAACTTATTAGGACTGCATAACCTTCAACATTGCAATATGTTCACATATGTATGTCCCTCGAGAGTAGCTACGTGATCTTACATCCTTCTTCAACAGCACAATTGATACATTCAGTTCACTGAAAATGGCTGTTTTTGATTAGTTTTCTCAAGAACTGCAGGTAGGTTTGATTTTAAAGGATACATATCCCGTAGGGATTCTTTAATATAAATTACCTTCCATATAATACATTAGGCACTATAAACGATGAAAACCCGTTTTCGGTTATTTTCGAAGAGATTCTTATCATCAACTGAATTGTTGTGCACAAACCTATGTCTTACTTGCTGCTTAATTAATTCGAAATTCGCTACACGAGATGAAGATTCCGTTAGTTGCCTGTATTCAGTGAGTGGAGATTGCCCACCCAAGCGTTGATCTGGGTGGAAATGAAAATGATGAACGTCGGGTGGCAGTAAATCAATTAATTCCATATCAAGTGTTTTATGATGGAAGCAGCCGCTGAATCTAGACCGGGCAAACCGTGAAATCTGTGAGACCCAAGACTGAACAAATTCGCGTTCAAAATGTAGCCTATCCCCTCAGATATGCACTGTGTATTACGACCAACCAGAACGAAAGAACTGTATCTTGAAGTTCAACGTTTGGGACTGCAACATAAACATGCAACATTGAAGGGTTTACTATGAACCAGAGAAAAGTATTGCAATTTTTTTTGCTTAATATCAATTGAAACTCGGTTCGTCTTCAATATTCCTATAGTTAGCACACAATCCGTATCCCTCATTTTCATCGGCGCGAACTTGATAACAAACTCGTTACCACGATAGAATAGTTTCTACATATTCTTATGAGATAAAGCAATTCCTGTCATCAGGTTTCATTACTGCCCGTATCATGATGCGTGCAGAGATGCACACGCGAACTTACGTTACTCAATGACGCAACATGTATCTAGTCACGTGATCTCACCAAACTGAACGACTGACATGTGTTTATGCAACTCGGACGTGAGGGTTACAGTATTCGTTATCTCCACGGCTGGGAACTGCTGTATTTGACAGTTCCGCATTCGGTGATGAGTCAGTTTCTCACCAAACCGTAATCTACCTAGTAAAACCCTCCCCACGCAACTTACCAAACATACGATTTGCCCCATAGCACAAAATGTGACTGAACTATTTCGCACACTATAAAAGCATCACTACCTGATGTGAACGAAGTTGCTTTTTTTATGAGTAAATTCTGAATCCAGTGAGTCATCTTTATTCAATGCGTAGGTCAGGTCAGGTCAGGTCAGGTTTCTAGGACGAAAACAGGCTTTCGCCTAACGTGCGTCCAGATTCATACACCAGTAGGATTTGGGACTTCCTCTGGTGCTACGACGTGAATATTTTTTTCGTGGGTTGTCATGATTCGTTAACCTTCTCTAGATTCGGACAGCTGCCCCAGCGAGCAAAATTACCAGGGGTTTACTTCAGGTGATACTGTTTAGAGTTAAGTCAAAAAGGTTTACACAGGGAGGAAAGGTAAGAATCTGAAACTAAAAGTACCATTGTGCAGTCGCACTTTCGCACTCATATTAGAGACCGGCAGTTGTGGCACATTCAGCACTGGCCAGCAAAGGGAGCATCGTGTCACTTTTTTTGTGCGATGTTTGTTTCTTGTATGCCTTCGTGTGCTGCAATGGTGAGTGGTTTGCTTAGATATGTTCGGGTGCATGCTGTATGCTATACAATGTATGAGAGCGTGGTGGGCTTTTCGTGCGCGGCGTGCAGTAGACCTTTTATTGTTTTTTATAATCATAATCTCTTTGTTTTTTTGTTTATTTATTTTGCTTTTGATTTCTTTATTTCAAATTCTTTTATATATTTTTTGGCCTCTTGAGACCACCCGCAAAAGATATATGCGTAGATAACGGATGATCTGATTCTATTTTCATACCTAAGACATTGTGTCCGACGATATGTTGCGTAATGCGCATTGTTTACTGTTCATATTTATTATATACGTTACACAGCTAATGATTTTCAGCTTTGGCCCCCGCATTCATAAGTGACCAAATAGATTTGACGAAAGTGTTTCACTAATAGGACAGTGCACTAATCTCATGAACCATGAATCTGCTTATAAATCTGTTTAACTGTAACTCGTTTAACATGACTCTGCATATTGCCTTGAACTGGTCCTTTTATTGGGACCCATGATCCCGTGGATGATCTGTCAGGGGTAAAATTAGCTATGCACCTACTCCTTTACTTGCTTTTTAGATGTCTTGCTCGGTCTTTTTTTTCATACATTTGGCAAACTGTCTCGTTGTTTGAGCAACCCACGTGATGTAAATGTATCATTCACATTTTTCCTTACAACAGACATGTGACGGTGTCCTCATCCTTCATTGTGATATACGATGAGGGCAAGAGATAGAAGAAATAATAGACACTTTTGATGCAGATTCAAAGTGAGAGGTTTGATCTTTGTGTCATTGAAACTTCACTGTCGGTAGAAGAAAAATTACTTCGATATTTTTTTCCTTCTCCCTCATCTAGCAGTGATGATTCTCATTTCAAAAAGATAACGACGTAGCTTTTATGGGGATTGTGTATTCATATAAAAAGAAACCAGAAAAAAGAAACAAACGAACACCCTACGAACATCACATAGTTATGCATTCAACTCGATGATCACATAGGATTTTGATGGATTTTAGGGATACGTGCAGACGTGGTCGAACGTGTCCGAGCGTTCGCACGGAGACAACTAAGTTTCACTCGACAGGCGGAACACATCTGGGTGAATTCTTTGTGAAAATTCTCATTCAACCAACCGTATAACACCGGATTGATACAGGCAGACAAGAGTACACAGAATAAACAGAAAGACTGCGTCAGGGTGGAAATTCGGCCGGTAAAATACATTTTATTCTGGTCTGAAGTAAACCCAATTGAGGGGGATTCGGTCGACGGGTAAATGATATGATGATGTGTCTGATTGCGATCGTGCATAACCCACACATTGTCGGAATCTGTGCCGTCTAACTGGTTGATATCGGAAGCGGATCGCGATTCTTTGAGATCCATAGCCAAATTAAATATGTGCAGTGGAAGCCAGGCCAAAATAAACGTGATCGTGACAGCAGCCAATAAGGCATTAGTTCGTGTGTGTCTCCGCTGGATAGTTTTCTCGCGATCCTGTACCGTACTCGCATTTGTGATTGTCGATGTATACATGGAATAATTATTTACCTTGTGTCTCTCTCCATCCGCATTCAGGTGGGTTTCGTTTACGATGACTCGTAGTTCAGAACAGCTGCCAGGTTTGGCCGTTTCACCAGGACAGTCGTTCTTATGAATGTCCACATTCACATCTAACAAGTGATCGTTTTGTCGTACTGCCCCAGGTTTGTGCGGTTGATTTGTCATTGCACCGGAAGCCAGTTCCGAGAGCATCTCGTTCAATCGAAGCGTGCGTCTATTCAGCTGACGTTTTCTTATTCGCAAACAAATACGAGTGTACGCATAGCTCACGATTGTGATCGGAAGACAATATTGAAATATTAGTGTCACGATTCCATAGATGAATTTACTTCGTCTTAGCCATTGGCTCTGTATTGTGTTGGCACTGCACACGCTGCCGTCTGATCGGATAGTTCCGTGACTCACGGATGAGAATGCGATCATTGGACTGGCCATGAGGATAGCGAATAACCAACTGCTACCAATGATTGCCATCGCACCAGCTGTATGCACTCTAATCCGAGTGGGGTAAACAATCACCTGCAATACGTAGTGTAGATGTCACAAAACGCGGTGAAAAACCGTGTCAACAAATACGTAATGAAACAATTGAAAATGTAACAGGTCTAAAGAACCCAATTTCACCTCATCAGAACTCAGCGGAAAGAACGTCCATTTATGATGACCAAACAACCCCTCCCCCGTTTTTTATCCGAAAATCGTTTCGTTGTTTCGTTAGAGCTACTTTGATTATTTCTATCGATTTTTCTACGTGATATTCAAATTGCAAATTTCTTCATAATTACTGACATTGCTTAACTGTAGCTTAATTTACTTAAGGATAGCATTTAAATATTCCTAAATAATTGCATTTTTAAAGTATTCAGTTCGACACGTTGTGAAATCAAAGCAATCTATTTGAAGATACAATGCAATATATTTATTTTGTGCAATTTTTATCTGTAATTATCTCACTGCGCACGGACGAAACTAATTTCAAATACCAGTTCTTGTAGCTGCCATCCAAGGA